GTGGAGCGCGGCCGCGTGCGCGGGGGCCGGGCGGGGTCTTCCGGGCCGTGCGCGGGCGGGGGGCGAGGGGGCGGATAGGGACGCGGGGACGCGAGCGCCCTCGCACGACGCCAGCCCGGAAGGGCCGAGGGGGAGGGGGCCCGGCTGGAGCCTGCCCCGGCCGTCTCGACTCGCTCCCGCCCTCGCGGCCTGGCTGGAGTCTGGGCAGGGTGCTGGCACGGCCTGGACCCTTCTCCCGCCGTGGGCCGGGGCGGCCGGGGCGCCTCCAGGATCCCCGTGAGGAGCGCAGGGAGAGACGGAGGCCCTGTCTCTCGCGCCCACGAGGACTTGGGTGGACGGATGGGTCACGCGGCCCAGGCAGCCGCCAGCTTCCTCAGGTGCACTAATCCTCTTGGGCCTTGTGTGCCCACCCAAAAGCTGTAACTCATGGGCTCCCGATCTGCGAGCGCCATCCCGCCGAGTCCCACCTCCCGCCGAGTCCCACCTCCCGCTGTCTAATGCCTCCACGTTCTCCTGTCTCCCCAGCGGTACTTGGCGCGGGGTCGCCCCGCCTTGCCTAAGAGACCCAGATTCTTCCCATGGGATCCTTCTTCCAGACCCTTAGGAACCCCACTTCCAGGGTGGGAAGGACGGGGGTCCTGGAAGTTGGAGGTGAGGGCCCTGGGGACATTGTCTGACTCCAAGTCACAGGTCAGCATGAGCAGCGGATTCCTGCTGAGTCATCGGCCTGGGTGGGATTAGCGCCCCTCCCTGCCTTATGGCAGGCGGTAGGTAGGCAGATGTGCGGGAAAGCGGGCTGTTGGGGTTCTCCGTTGCGAGCTGGGGAGTGGCCAGTGCTGGTCCATAGTCCAGGAGTGTGGACCCATGGAAGGAAACAGGCGAGGAATAAAGTCATCGGAGGTCGTGGGTATTGCTGTGTGAGCCTGGTGCGCCACTCAGGATGGGGCGCCCCAACCTGGCCAGTCATGTCTGTTGGGAAGCCTCCTTTCCACGGGTCGCCACCCCCCATTACACAGCCTGGACAGTTTGTAACGATTCTCCTCACCAGTCAAATCAGAAGGGACAGTAGTATCCCTTCTAGTGTCTCTTCTCCAGCATTGGGAAGTTCTCCACTCAAATATGGTCAGCAGAATACTGTCCCCAAGGCCTGCTGTGGTCAGACTGTGGCCCAGAACAGCCAGACTGGGCAGTAGTAAATGGAAGACCCTCCCCGCGGTGGCCAGATACAGTGTGAGGCCCTGGCACAGTCACACAGGCCTGCACCTCTCACCCCCACGTGGTCTGCTCCATCTGCTGCTGTGAGAGCCCGGACAGCGCCCCCACAAAGACACGTTGGACAGCTGTTCCTAGGACAATTGGATCGGGTGGCATCTCCAGGGCTGGTGTGCTGAATGGTACACAGGAGTATCCCCCAGCTCCCATCCCCACGTCATGTTCCGCATCCAGTAGAGTGTAACCCCCCCAACTCCCCCAGGGAAGCAGACAGTACAGCTCCCTGGCTCACATACAGCCGACTCCTGATCCCCAACATTCTCAGGGAAGTGTCTCCTTCCAGCCCCAGCACAGCCTGGCCAGGACCAGCATTTGGCAACCTGTGTGCTAGGCAGGCCAGGAGTCTCCATTCCTACCCCAAACCTGATGGGCAGTGGGGATGGGGCGGGCAGTCCCTGGGGCTCTCTTTCGGGGCCAGAGGTGGACAGGTAGCCAGATAGTGCGGTGACTGCTTGCAGATGGGCCCTGGGAGCACAATAAAAGACCCCCCCGCGCCATCTGCCAGCTTCCCAGGGGGGCCAGGCCGCCACGGAGGCCCTTTGGAGAGCAGAATGGGCTGGGGGACAGCCAGCAGCGGTGTGGTGGTGGTGTGAGGGTGGAGAGGCCGGTATGGAGTCCAGGATGAGCCTCATGGGCCACAGCAAAAGGCCCTGAGTTCATTCTGAGTGCAACAGGGAGCAGGGTGGTGACCCAGGGACTTGGAAAGGTCCCTGCTGCCATGGGGCCATGTCTGGTGGGGACAAGACTGTGAGCAAGTAGGGATCTGGTGGGTGTGAAGTCCAGGCCCCGCAAGGAAGGGCTAGCACTGAGGGGCTGTGGCCTACGGAGGTTTCATGTAAGGTGGGACAGCAGCAAAAGAGAGGACAAGCGGAGGGCCTGGTAAAGGGACAAAGTGTAGGGGTCAGGGTTCAGAGGGATGGGAGGTCAGTGTGTGAGACCCTGAGGATGGGAAGGAGGTGTGGCTAGGGCCATGGGTAGGGAGGGCCTAAGGCTGCCATCGCAGGAGCGAGGCAGTCACAGCTGTGTGTGCTGTGCGCACCCTGGGCTGGCTGTGCTGTCCTGTCAGTCCTCACAGGCGCGTTGCACAGTAGCAGTAACGGGCCAGGAATGCACAGCGATGTGCCCAGGGTCCCCAGACAATTGGGGACAGACACACACAGGCATCATGGGCAGCACCAACTTGTCCAGTAGGCACATTGTCAGGGGCCCACGAAAATGTTTATGTCTTAAAATAAGAAAGTAGATACAATAATAATGAGTATGCTTGGCTGATGTTTGTTTTTAAACCAATAGCATAAGATATTTAAAGTATATTTTTTTGAGGGGGCTGGCCAATTATTCCAAGGTGGTTAGAGTGCAGCCTAATAACACCAAGGTCACGGGTTTGGATCCCCATACTGGCCAGCCACCCACCCCCCCAAAATAAATATATTTCTGTGGAGGAAGGAGGCCACAAACCAACACTGTCTGGAGCCATGAAAGTCACAGAGTAACCATGAATGGGGGCGAGGGGGAGCCAGAGCCTCCGCCTGGAAGCTGGGGGTGTGAAGCAGTCCCTGGGTCCTGGTGAGAGCAGGGCCCAGCCAGCAAGGCCAGAGGAAGGGGAGCTGGGGCTGGGACACCTGTGCCCCCACACTGCTGGTTTCCCCCAGCTAAGGAGCACCCTAGGGTGTGGTGCCCTGGAAGCTGCCCTAGGCATGGGCTGAACTTAAGCCCACCTGAGGTCGCTGACGGCCCCTGCACAATGTGTGGCCATGTATGAGGGTAGGTGGAGTGGGTCCCAGTGTCGCTGCCCCTTCTAATGTGTCTCCCTGCCCCTCCAGGCCCCTGGCCCAGACATGGCCCGTCGCTCCCAGAGCTCCTCTCAGGGGGACAACCCACTGGCACCTGGTTACCTGCCACCTCATTACAAGGAATACTATCGCCTGGCAGTGGACGCACTGGCTGAGGGCGGGCCGGAGGCCTACAGCCGCTTCCTGGCCTCCGAGGGGGCACCTGACTTCCTGTGCCCTGAGGAAGTGGAACATGTGAGCCGCCACCTGCGGCCCCCACAGCATGTTGCCCGGGAGTCCCCTGAAGGCAGCCCTCCTGATGTGGACATGGATGGCTCCTCAGGCACCTACTGGCCCGTGAACTCGGATCAGGCTGTGCCTGAGCTTGACCTGGGCTGGCCCCTGACCTTCGGCTTCCAGGGCACTGAGGTAACCACACTGGTGCAGCCTCCACCGCCCGACAGCCCCAGCATCAAGGACGAGGCTCGCAGGATGATCCGCTCTGCCCAACAGGTGCGCTGTCATGGGCTGGGCGGCCTGAGCTGGACCTTGAAACAGGAGAAGGAGTGAGAGGGTGAAGGAGAAAAGCAAGCCTGGGGGGAGTGAGGCCAGGGCTGGCCGGCCAGGCCGCTCCAGGTTCATGCAGGACCTGGGGGCTCCAGCTGCGGCAGGGGTTCCCTGGCAGAGTTCCTCCGGGTTCACCAAGGACTTGGTCATCACAGGCTGCACGCTGTGCGTAGGCTTCTTTGCCCATGGTCATGGCCAGTGCCAAGAAACTCAGGGGTTCTGGGATGGGGCCCCTCCCAGCCTATCATTCAGAGAGTTTTCTAGTTCTGCCCAGTGGCCTTTGACCAGGCGAGGGCTTCTCACCCATCACTGAGCAGTCGGCAAACAGCAATGGGAGCCTGTTAAACCATGGAGACTGCGGCAGCAGGTCCAGATGCTAACGACCCCTGCCTCTGCCCCATGCCCTGGGCAGTGACTCCTTCCTAGGGACAGAACTGGAACATGGGGCTCCGCCCTGATGCCTGCCCTGGGGTCAGGACAGCTCAGCCATCTGTAGGGCAGAGGGGACTGCAGGGGCTCCCTTGCCTTGCCCTTTCTCCTCCAACCCCCACCCCCGCCCAGCTAAAGAACAGCCCTGCGTGCCACAGGGTGCAGGCCCAGCACCTGCCACTGGCTTCTTTATGGGCCATCAGCCTTGCTAGCAGCCGCACACCCCCTGTTGGTTCCCTTCCTCGCGACCCACCTTCCCAGACATGGCTCCACTCCCCAGGGGATGGGGTAGCGACTGTTTTACGGTGTTTGTGAGTGATACAAAGACCTCCGGGGACCGTCGAAGTTGGCTGGAGAATGGGCTGAGGACAGCAGGGGCGTCTGTCCTCCTTCCTGACCCGACCCGCAGGTGGTGGCCGTGGTGATGGACATGTTCACCGACGTGGACCTGCTCAGCGAAGTGCTGGAGGCCGCCGCGCGCCGGGTCCCGGTCTACATCCTGCTGGACGAGATGAATGCGCAGCACTTTCTGGACATGGCCGACAAGTGCCGCGTCAACCTGCACCACGTGGACGTGAGTGACCCGGGGTAGGGGGTGGGGGGAGGGAGAAGCCCCCCTCCGGCAGAGACCTAACGCCCTCCGGCCCCTCCCAGTTCCTGCGCGTGCGCACTGTGGCAGGCCCCACCTACTACTGCCGCACGGGGAAGTCCTTCAAGGGCCACGTGAAGGAGAAGTTCCTGCTGGTGGACTGCGCCGTGGTCATGAGTGGGAGCTACAGGTGCGCGCAGCCCAGGCCCCTGCCCCTCAGGGGACCCCCTGTAGTCCCAGCATCCCCCCCCCTCCCCGGGCCCTCCTCTCCCGGTCGCCTGGTCGCGTATCCCCTGACGCAGGTACTTGCAGACCTTGCGTCCCGTCCCGGAGCCCCATCTCGTCCCACCTGGTGCCCCGGGGTCCCTCACTTCCGCTCAGCGCCGCTCCCTTCCCTTGACTCCGGCCCCGACCCCAACAGCTTCATGTGGTCCTTCGAGAAGATCCACCGCAGCCTGGCGCACGTGTTCCAGGGCGAGCTGGTCTCCAGCTTCGCGGCCGCTGGCGACCTCCTGCCCTCGGCCTTCCGCGTCCCTGCAGCCTTCCCAGCCAGGGGCCTGGTGGCAGGCCCCGGCAGTGGTGGCGGCGACGGCCCGGAGCGCGAGGGCTCTGAGGAGGCCGGCCTGGCCAAGCAGGACTCCTTCCGCTCGCGCCTGAACCCGCTCATCCAGCGCAGTTCGCGGCTACGTTCCGCCGCTGGTGCCCTCGGCGGGGGCTCTGGCCCGCATGGACGCCTACGCGCTGGCTCCGTACGCGGGGCCTGGGCCTCTCGTGGGTGTCCCCGGGCTCGGGGCGCCAACCCCCTTCTCCTTCCCTAAGCGGGCGGGGCCGCAGCGGCCGCCACCGAGAAAGTGCAGCTACTGCACAAGGAGCAGACGGTCACCGAGACGCTGGGTCCCGGTGGAGAGGCCGTGCGCTCTGCCGCCTCTGCCAAAGTGGCCGAGCTCCTGGAGAAGTATAAGGGCCCGGCCCGTGACCTTGGCGGCACAGGGGGCGCAGTCACTCTCGCCAGCCACAGCAAGGCGGTCGCGACCCAGTCGTGGCGGGAAGAGGTGGGGGCGGCAGGTGGCACGGGGGCCGAGCGCCGCAGCCTCGAAAGCTGCCTGCTCGACCTGCGCGACTCCTTCGCGCAGCGGCTGCACCAGGAGGCCGAGCGGCAGCCGGGCGCCGCCACGCTCACCGCCGCGCAGCTGCTCGAGACGCTGGGCCGCAGCGGCACCGACCGCCTGCCCTCCCGCTTCCTCCCTGCCCAGGGGCGCTCCACCTCCCCGCAAGGGCGGGACAGCCCCCCGCCGGAGGGGCCCGGGACGCACCAGGCACCCCATTCTGAGCCAAAAGGGAGCCCCATCTCGGCCTACCCCGAGCGGAAGGGGAGCCCCACGCCTGGATTTCCCACTCGCAGAGGCAGCCCAACTACAGGATTTACTGAGCAGAAGGGGAGCCCCACCTCAGCCTACCCGGAGCGCAGGGGCAGCCCGGTGCCCCCCGTGCCCGAGCGCAGAGGCAGCCCGGTGCCCCCTGTGCCCGAGCGCAGGGGCAGCCTCACCTTTACCTTCTCCGGGGAGTCTCCGAAGCCTGGGCCCACGGAGGAGGTGACAGGCGGCCCCATGGAAGTCCTGCGCAAGGGCTCCCTGCGCCTCCGGCAGCTGCTGAGCCCGAAGGGCGAGCGGCGCGCGGAGGATGAGGGCAGCTTCCCAGCACCGCAGGAGAACGGGCGGCCTGAGAGCCCCCGGCGGCCGTCGCTGGGCCGGGGCGACAGCGCGGAGGCTGCCGCAGGAGACGAGCGGGGCCCGCGGGCGCGTCTGTCCTCAGCCACGGCGAACGCCTTGTACAGCAGCAACCTGCGCGACGACACGAAGGCCATTCTGGAGCAGATCAGCGCCCACGGCCAGAAGCACCGTGGGGGCCCCACGCCGGGCCCGAGCCCGGCGCACAGCAGCCCTGACCTCGGTCGCCCGCCTACTTCCGGAGGCCTGGCCCCAGACATGTCCGACAAGGACAAGTGTTCAGCCATCTTCCGCTCGGACAGCCTGGGGACGCAGGGCCGGCTGAGCCGCACGCTGCCCGCCAGCGCCGAGGAGCGCGACCGGCTGCTGCGCCGCATGGAGAGCATGCGCAAGGAGAAGCGCGTCTACAGCCGCTTCGAGGTCTTCTGCAAAAAGGAGGAAGCCGGCGGCCCGGGGGCAGGGGAGGGCCTGGCGGAGGACGACAGTAGGGACAGCAAGGTGGGCAAGTTCATGCCCAGGATCCTGGGTACGTTCAAAGGCAAGAAGTGAGTCCCCTGGCCCACCAGCCCAGGCCAGGCCAGGGTCCGCATCACTGCTGCCCCCACCCAGAGCACCCTGCTGGGCAGGGAGCTTCACGCCCCTGTGTCTGAGTGGTGGCCCCTAGGCCCTCGTGCCGAAGCAGTTTGGGGCCCGGCGGAGCACGGCCGGAGCCGGCTCCACTTGGGGTTAGCCCTGCCTCTGCCTCGGCCTCTTCTCCCCTGGGGCTCCAGCCCCGCACTGCCGGTGCCTTTCTCCCCCGACTCCCTTCTCAGCCCCTCAGCCTGCCCCTCCTCACGCGTCTGCCTCCACCGTCTCCTTGGGCTCAGGCCCCTTCGGACCTTCATTCACCTCAGGGACCAACGTCTTCGTGCTTCAGCCCCACCTTCTCTCAGGGCCTCCCTCGCCTCAGGGCTTCTGTTCTCAGGGTTTCTCTCTCTTCCTGTCTCCTGACAGCCCTGCACTTTCTCTCTCAGGCCCAGCCTCCCACCTCTGTCTCCACTGCTGGGGGCTCACTTTTGCGGGGAAGGCAGGGCTGGCCACAGGCAGTTTATGACGGAGGAGTGGAGCTGGCCCAAAGGATGCCACTCAGAGTGATGGAAGCTGGACAGGGAGGACGCTGGGAAGGGGGGTTTCAGGGGACCCCTAAGGGGCTGCCCTGCCGGCCTGAACTGAAGCTCGCTCGGCCAGGTCAGCCCACTCCTCCAGCAAGGCTCCTGTCAGTACCTGGTGAGAAGCAAGCAGTGGAGTACTGGGCTTTGTGGCACAATAAAACACCACCTGGATACACAACGTGTGGCCCAGCCTCATGAAGTGTCCCCTGCACAGGCACTATCCCAAGCCTTGTCCTAGAAAGAGGCTGGATGTGGAGCACTTGTCCTTGACAGGCATGGGGCCACGAGGGCAGAGGACAGGGTGTGGTGTGGCCAAGAGGCACAGGTCCTGGGCACCCCTGCAGGCAGGAGTGGTCCTTGCCCTGTGTGCCCAGCAGACCCTGACTCCACCCTGAGCTTGGATCCTCCTCTTTGTCACCAGCACGCAGTCTGTCCAAGGTTCCCAGCTTGCCTTTCTTGTACCTTTTTCACCTCCAGAAGAGTAATTTTCGTTGAATTGGAATGATAGTGTGGCACCAAATGCTTAGAAAGTCCCCCACTATGAGGTGCTAGCATTATGAAATTACTGTTTCTGTATTCTGTTATTTCTTTTCAAGTAGGTTTTTTTTTTTTTAAATTTAAGTATAAAGATGTCAAGAGAGAAAGGATTTAAGAAATGAAGCCACTAAGCAAAGGGTCTGACTCCAGCAGCGGGGGAGGGGGTGGCCCCACTTTCAGTCTCTGACAGCTCAGTCTCTGGTTACCAAAGCCACCACCCAGGTGGACATGAGGGCAGGGACTTGACCAGGTGGAAAGGTGCCCTGGGAGCGGGATGAGTTGTAGGGGTTCTTGGCCTTGAATGTGCTGGCTAACGAGTCTGTTTGAGCGGGGCCTGGAGTGTCCCGGGTCTGCGCATAAGGTTCCAGACCGTCTGCTAAGGGAAGACGGTGGGGAGGTGCGGCGTTCTGCCTGTGGAAGGGCAGGGGCTGGTTGCCCAGCCAGCGTCCCGCGGAGCCTACTCTCTGCACCGTCCACATCTTGCTGAATGAGATCTCTCTTCAAACATGATGTTGCACATTTTTGGTGCAGTAAATAAAAGACAATGCACAAAATAGTACAACATGTTCCCAAATATATATAATCACCCAGTTATACACTGCAACCTTTAACCTTGTGACCTTCCCAATTTTCCTTGTGGAAGCACGCATCCCTGTAGGGAGCACTACAGGCCCTCCACACCTCTACCTGCGACTTCTAACCCGATCCACACTCCTTCCTCCTCTCAGCCCCTCCTCGTGTACGCAGCCCCCTGTGCAGGCCGCTCCATGGGCTCTCACCCGCGGTCCTCTGGTCACCAAGCCCGGCAGACACTTCCAGCCTTGTCTCGCAGCCCCTGCCTGCTGGAGTCCTTCCCTGTCTGGGCGCCCATCTGCCACCACCCAACGGGTCCCTGGCCTCTCGGCCACCTCTACAGCACTGGCCCCCGCAGCCTCGGAGTCCTGCTTGCAATCCCAGGGGCTGTGTCTTGGCTTCTCGAAGCTCCACCGAGTGGCGTCATCCCACTGACCCGTGCTCGCCCCCCCCTGCTCCTGCAGCCCCCGCCCGCATGCGTCCCTGCTCTCTGGGTCTCCTCGCTGCGGTGCCCGCTTGCTTCTCAGCGCCGCGGCCCGCTGCCACCCCTCAGATGAGAGCACCCCGCTTGGCAGCCCGGAGGAGGCCTCCCTGCGTTCCGGCCAGGTCCAGGTGCACTGTGGGGCACCCATGGCACCGTGGGACACAACTCCGTGCCCTCCTGCCCCCTCTGACCTCTTTGGCCCCGCACACCCCTGGTCTGAACTCACACCCGGCCCTCTGCCGGGTGGTGGCCAGAGGAGGTAGCCTTGAGCGCCACAAATATCTCCAGGGTTCCCCTTCCCCTTGCCAAGACCTGGAGACGGACCAGGTGCCAGTCACTGTGTTGGTGGGGCACAGGCTACAGTCACTGACAGTAGGGGAAAGGCAAGGCATCGGGGCCTGGGGGAGGGGTGGGAAGAAGCTGTTTCCTTCTCTCTCCCCTTTTCCTCTCTGGTTCAGGGTCACAAACAGCAACCCCAGGCAGGGAGCTGATGGTGCTGAGGGACAAAGCCAGCACCAGGGCACTTGTGGACAAAGGGCAGGAAGCTGGCCCTCTGCAGGCTGGCTTCAGGCTGCACTAGCCTAGAGGAAAGCCCTAAGCTGGATGCTGGGGGGGCAGGAGCCACGCGTGACAGCAAACAGAGGTCACTGCAGCTTCCCACTGGGCTCCTGTGTTGGACGGGGGGTGCAGGTTTCAGGATGGGGCTGGTGTGGCCTCAGGAGGGAGCGGATGCTGGACAGTGGGCAGTCTGAGTCAGACAAGTCTTTATTGGGGGAAGTCATGGGGCTGGGGTGGGAACCTCATCTGCACCCCAGAGAGGCCCAGACAAGTCTTCTGGAGCATGAACGTGGTCAGGCACAGGGGAGGAGGGCTGAGGCACGCTGGGGTCTGGGGAAGAGACAACGGGGCTGGGGACTGAGGGAGGGGCAGCGAGTTGAGGGGCAGGGGCTGGAATTGGGGTGAAGCTGGGCTGAAGGGGGGTAGGGTGGCTCACGCTCAGGGTCTTGGGAGCAGGGGCAGGTGGCCCAGTGCCGAGTGGCAGATGGTACCATAGGCTTGGGAGTAGCCTCCCAGCGCAGCCCTGGTGGCCCCCAGGGCCCCCTGCGAGACTGAGGTGCTGAACATCCTCCGGCCTGGCCGGGGCTTGGGCTGGGCGTCCTGGGGAAGCTGGGCAGGAGCCTGCACACAGGTGAGGGGCAGTGTGAGGGGCACTGGGCTCAGAGGGGGAGGATGAGGGGCATGGGAAGGACAGGAAGGGAGGGAGAGGCCCAGACTGGGGCCAGGCTCACCCGTCGTGCTCCGTCAGCCTTCACCCCACTGTCCCGGTTACGGCCACCGCGGATCAGGGCCTGGTGGGCCACCTGGGCTGCCACCTGTGAGGTCAAGGAGGGCACCGCCCCTCTCCCGCTTGGGTGTACCTGGGAAGGGGAGCGTCACAGGATCACGGAAAGATACAGTGGAGGGTTCCTCCTGCGCCCACCCAGCCACAACTTACCCATGAGCGTGCCAGGGGGAACTCCGCCGTCACCCCAGGGGGCCTTTCCAGCCTCCCTGGGGGCAGAGGTTGGAGCGGGGAGGCAGAGTTCTGTCCAGGAATGTTCTTGGCTGCACTGGGGGCTTCTGTGGGGTGGAAAGATCAACCCCAGGATTAGGAGCCTGGGGACGGGCATGGCTGATGGTCCCACACAGGAGGGGCCCTGGGCCCTGCTCCATGTGGGTGGCAGCAAAGATCACACACCATGCTCAGCGTCCTGCTCTGGGTCGTGTCCAGGGCTACTCTGAGGCCTTGGTCCAGGGTTCCATGCAGGCATCCCCGAGGGGAGCTGGTGGACCACTCTTGTCTTGAGTGGGTGCGCCCGGGGCCGAAAGGCTTTGGGCTCTGTCCCCTGGGAGGCGCCCTCCAGGCCCTCCTCTCTTGGGACTCGGCCGGTGGCCCTGCGCTCCAGGATCATCTGCAGGAGGGGTGCGAGGGGTGCTCAGAGGTGCAGACTGTGGGGAGTCGTCGAGGTGGGAGGAAGCGTCGAGGGTGCACGTGGATGGGGAACGATGGAGGTCACGGCCGGAGCACCTGGTAGAGGAGGCTGCGATACTCGGGTGCAGAGAGCTGGACTCCTTCATGCACTGGGAGCCGCACATCCGCCTCCCGTGTCCACTCGCGGTCGGGGCCGTGGAACCTGCCATGAGCCACAGAGGTGGGTGCGGGAGAGGTGGGACCTGGGCTTCAGTCGAGGGAGCCCTTTGGGCTCTTACCCCACCCCAGCACTTTGGGGCACGCCCTCCTGGGTCTGCCCTCTGCCCACACCACCTCCGCACGTAGGGGTGCTGCAGTGCCTGCGCCGCACTAAGCCGCTTGTCCGGGGCAAACACCAGGAGTCGCCTGAGGAGGTCCAGGGCCTCTGGGGGGGTGTCTGGCGGCAGGAGGGCGTCCAGCGTCTGCTTTGGCCTGCGGGTGGCCCGTGTCATCTCCCCTCCAGGGTCCCGACCCACGGACGTCTCCCCAGATCCAAGCCTGTGGCCTGGGGCTTGGCTGCCAACCTTGCCCCACTTTCCTGTCTCTATGGCTGACCTGCAGGGCAGCCTGGGAAAGTCAGGAGACCCCTGCTTCACCTCCTGGTCCCCTCCTCTCCACCACCGCACCCCCCAGCTTCTCCGGACCTCCCTCCAACTAACCCAGGCCCCTGGGTGCTCTCCCGCAGCCTCCTAATGCCCCTCCCCCACCCAGCAGAGCTGGTCCGGCTCTGGGGTCTCCTTGTTTTTAGGGTGACCAACAGTTGCTGGGTTTGGAACCACCATCAGGAGAGCAGCGGGGTCTGAACTGGCACAAACTGGCCCCAGCAAGGTTGCAGGAAGGTGGCCCCACTCACTCCTCCCCACAGGCCACCCCCACCCCCTAGCACAAAGCGCCCTCACTCACTGGGACCCCAGGCGATGCAGAATGGAGGCGCTGTAGCCTGAGCCGAGGGCTAGTAGGTCTGGGGTGGGCAGAAGGTGGTGTGAGCAGGCAGATCTGGCGGTGGGGCGGCTCAGCGGCCAGGGCCAGCCATCTCTTCTGGCCCCATGGAGTGCAGCTTCTCTGCAGGGCTTTCCCTGTCTGGCTGGGCTCAAACCCTCAAAAGCTGGCCCGCACCCCACGTGTGCACAGAACACCCACAGAGGCGCCCCCTCAAACTGGATGCCAGTGCCCCCCACTCCATGGACGAAGCCCGCACTGCTCCACCCAGGACAGCAGAGACGTGGGGTAAGAACAGAGAACCCCACTCAGTCCTGTGAATGTCCCCCTCTCGCCCCAGAGAATACTGACCCCCACATCCCCGCCCCCATTTCTCCTCCCCCACCTCTTCCCTCAGCACCCCACCTGCCACCCAAGTCTACACACACCCCAGCTCCCAGCACGGGGACAGTCCTCACCCCACCACTCTGCATCCCTCGGCGGGGCTGGGGACCTAGTCCTGACCTAGATGGCCCCTTTGTGGTCACTGCCTGGCCCTCAGGACTCACGGCCAGGTCCGGCCTCCCCTGCAATCTGCACAGTCCTCCCCACACCACCCGGCAGCTCCTCAGGGGCTCTCAGCAGGGCCTGCCCTTTCTGGTCTTCCTGGGGCTCCAGCTCCTCCCTCCCTGTCCCGGTCCCTCCTCCCCATGCAGTGCTGTCCTGTTCTCTGACCCCCATGTCCTGGTGCCCAGTGGATGAGCTGCTGAGATTGCGACCCCAGCACACACGCTCACCCTCCTCGGATGGCAGAGGGATGGTCTCCAGGATCAGCTCCAGCTGGTGAAGTGTGGACGTGCCCGGGAACAGGGGCCTCCCTCGCAGCATCTCCCCCAGGATACAGCCCAGACTCCACATGTCCACCCTGGGGGTGTACCTGGGGCGGGAAAGGGGGTGGGCACGGGGCATGGGGGAGGGAGAAGTGAGGACACAGGTGGAACCAAGGCAGTCCCAGGATACACGAGGTCCTGGGAGCCCCAGCTGGGCAGGAGGGAGGGCCAAGGGGGCCTGCAGGGAGAAGGGGGCTTGGGGCACCTCACTCTCACCAGCGCGAGGACAGTAGCACCTCTGGAGCTCGGTACCAGCGTGTGGCCACGTACTCTGTCAGGGCCTGGCCCTCAGGTCCCTCAGGGAGGTTGCTCAGGGAGCGGGCCAGGCCAAAGTCGCAGAGCTTCACCAAGCAGCTGGCATCCAGGAGAACGTTGGACGGCTGGAGAGAGGAGGGGGCTGAGGGCCAACGGGGCCAGGGGGTGCACATAGGGACTGGGGGCTGGGAGCTGTGCAGACGGACGCACCTTCTGGTCCCGATGGATGACGTGCCCTGAGTGGATGAACTTGGTGGCCCGCAGGAGCTGGTAGAAGATGTAGCGCTTGTGGACGTCCTGCAGCAGTCCACCCTTTCGGATGACAGCGTTGAGGTCAGTGTCTGGGGACAGGCATGTGCCTCAGTTTAGGCGGGGGGGGGGTGGCGGCGGCAGCAAGGAAGGATGTGCAGTTCACTCTAGGGGGCCGAGGGGGAGCCTGGGGAGAGCGGGCAGGTCAGTCCCACTGTGAACCCGTCCATGGCCCATAGTGACCAGGTCCTGCCGGCCACCCTCAGAACCATGTCCTGGCTCTCGCACCGCCTAGCCACCCCACAGCCTTCTCAGTCCTGCTCACTGTCAGTACAGCAATAAAGCTTGTGGAATTATTTTAATACTTTATTTCATGTTGCCTTTGTTTTGTAAAATGGGTAGAAAAAGGAAAAGGCTGCAGACTGTGGACAGAGCCAGTGGGTCAAGGTGGTCAGCACCAGGCTCTGGGGACTGACACCTGCCAGCTCTTTGTCCTTGGGTACAGGGTACAAGGTACAGGGTACAAGGTGCAGGGACCAGGCAGCAGAGGGGACACACAGAGGGAGGCAGGACAGAGGTGGGGCTGGGGGCTGATCGAGGCCTCACTCACCCATAGACTCAAACACCAGGTAAATGTCCCTGTCATTCTCTGCCCGGATCACATCAAGGAGGCGGATGATGTTGGGATGGTCCCCAAACTCCTGGGGAGAGTTGGTTGCTGTTGGAAGGCCAGGGGCTGTGCTCTGGGGGCAGAGGGGCCTGGCTTCCCCCCGTCTGGAAAGACCTGTACCTGGGGAAGGGAATCAGGCGGGATGACCTGGGCCACTAACCTGGAGGAGCATGATTTCCCGGAACGTTCTCTGGAAGAGACAGAAACACAGGCATGGGGGCAACAGAGCAAGAAGCAAGCCTACATCCTGGAAGGCCCCAAACACCCACTGGACCATGGGTCACAGAGGGGACAGTGTTCCAAGAGACACCAGGAAACCCGCTGTGATTGGGCTTTGGATCTACACCTGAGCCTCCAGGCACCAAGGCAGGGGGGTCACTCCTGCCCTTCATCCCACTCACTTACCTGGGCATCCGTCTTATCCCTGAAGGCATCAAAGATTTTCTTGATGGCCACGACCTCACCAGTCTTCCGATCCACTGCCTTCCACACAATGCCATAGGCCTGGGGAAGAGCACGGTCAGCCTGCTGAGGACAGGGCCAGCTCCTGCCCAGCCATCCCCTGACCATCCAGATTGCGCCCTGAAGACAAGAGGCTACTCCTTCCAGGCTACTCTGGGTCCTGGGAGGGGACACGAGTGTGGTGAGGCCTGGAGCTCTGGACCCCGCAATTCCAGGTTGCCCAGGACTCTGGCACCTTCCAGAGGGGGCGATGCGAAGCAAGGGGAGGTGGAGGCAAGGGAGGAGGTGAAAGCTGGTGAGGTCTCTGGAGGAGATGAGGTCACAGAGAACTTCTGGGCGGGAACTGAGGGTGGTCTTTCACCCTTCCAGCCACCTAAGTATTCTCAATCCCTCTTTCTCACACACCCCATCCAGCCTGCCAGCAAACCCCATGGACTCTGCCTTCAGAATTCATCCAGAATTTGGACCGGCCTGTGGCTCACTTGGGAGAGTGCGGTGCTGATAACACCAAGGCCAAGGGTTCGGGCCCCTGTATAGGGATGGCCGGTTGGCTCACTTGGGAGAGCGTGGTGCTGACAACACCAAGTCAAGGGTTAAGATCCCCTTACCGGTCATCTTTAAAAAAAAAAAAAAGAATTCATCCAGAATTCAACCAATTCCTACCATCTCTCCTGCCTCCACCCTGGTCTGAGCCTCCAACATCTCCTGCTGGGTTGCCACACTAACCTCTTAACTAATCTCCCTCTGCCACTCCCGCCCACCCCCACAGCCGATCCTCAACTGCACGGGCAAGGTGAGCCTGGTAAATGGTACCGACAGCTGCTACAGATCCCAGTGTCAGTAACAGTAGAAGCCAAAGTCCTCAAAGTTATCCAAAGCCCCTCAGTCAGGCCCCTCATCGCTTGTTTAGCAGGGTCTCCCCTCCCCCGACCCCTGTCTTACTCCCCAGTCACACATAGGTCTGCCCTCTCTCCAGTAACCAAGCAGGCCCTTGCCTCAGGGCCTTTGCACGTGCTGTTTGCACTCTGGACGCTCTTCCTCCCCCGCCCCTCCACGCACTCCAACACACCCGCACAATCACAGCTCCACATACACAGCCCCACATGCTCACGCCTCTCCACGCCTACCCCATATACCCGCTCAGGTCCTGTGGGCGTAGGGAGAGGTGACCCAGAAGCAGGGGACGGTGGGCGGCCGGGAAGCCAGGGTCGCTCAGCCTGAGACCGCTGGCGGCCCTGGCTGCCACCTGCTTGCCGGAGCCAGGCCCCTGGGTGAAGGCACTGCCAGGATCCTGTTACCCCATGAGGAAACTGAGGCACAGAGGGGCTCGGTGGCCTGCGCAAGGCCTGTTCCGCAGAGCTGCGGCGCTCCGCGGCAGCTCACCCCCTTCCCGAGCCGCCGCTTAAGCAGGTATCTGCGGGCGACGTGGCGGTCCACCTCGGCGGCGCACATGGTGGCCGGCGGGCGCCCTCGCAGGGTCGGCCTGGAGCCCCGCGGGGCCGGCGCTGTTGAGCCCGTCGCCCTGGGAACCGACGGCGGCCCGCGCCTGC